CCTCGCTCCTTATACATCTTACTATGGCTGAGCTGAGCAACCGCATCGGACACACAATTACACATTAAGATCCACGCAAACTCATGGATGCTCATAAACACGCACAGGTCCACGGGCACTCACGCAGCAGAGTAACAGTGCAGGTATGTGTGCAGGAAAGGACACATAGTGCATGAGAGCGGGAGAGACAGAAATGGAGACCGAGGGAGATGGAGGCAATTGAGAGGGAGGGGATCTACTTAGAGTGTTGACATTGCAGGAGCCCACATGTGTGTGTCGGAGCATAATCTTCTCCCTGCTCTCATTGGGTTTTTAATGCGGGTGCTATTTCCATAAACCTGCCTCCTGAATCACTGCCAGCCTCTTACACTCCCCCCAGGTCGAGCTGAACTAATACAAGGAGTAAATGCATGCAGCAAACACATTTCCACCAATGCTTCTCCAAGACAATCACTGTTGTACACAATGCTAGCATGACAAAAAGGGGTAGGGTGGCATGTTTTTCTCTGCTACGGCAAATAGACTTGCTGCAGCAGCTGAGATTATTTCTTGGATCTGCTGGATTTGAGGAGTGGCAGCGAGAGGACAGAGAGTTTGAGGAGGGTGGTGGGAAGGGGGGGCGGGGGATTGTGGGAGGGGGATGGGTGGGGGGGTGGATAGCGTGAAGGATGCAGGATTTTGTCATGATGCTGGGTGGAGTAAATCTCCTGCGGACTTGTGTAGAGAGCTGTGACACTCGCAGGCATGCACACACACCAACAGCTGTAAAAACAGCCACTGTGGGCCTTAACTGTCAGTCTCCTCCTGCTGTAAGTGTGTCATAAAGGGATCATCAGGAAAACATTTTAGTGCCCAGGTCATCAGGGAATACCAAGATTTTACTTGACTGATATTTAGTTGTTTTTTTTATCTTGGTTAAAACACTCACAAGCATATCCACATACACGAAAGCACACATATGGTTATGTAATATAAAAAGTAATGCATCTCCATCAGCAACAAACAAGCACGAAACAGCACGCAAATAATATATTCAAGCCTCAGCGTCGTGGGCGGTGTGTGATCACGGCAAGCTGCCATGTGCACATGTTTTTCTTCCCACCTTTATGCACTGCTATCTGTATGTACATAGGGCTGGCTGCAGCGCAAAGTCAGCTTACCACACACGCACAAACACACAGGGCTAATAGAGCCAAGCAACGCACACCTGGTAAACTGTCAGAGCTTCTCCTATTCAGTGGCCAAACTTATGTCAGGCACTGGAGTCCCCAAGGTTCCCATCACACTTCACCACAGGAATCTATATTCCAGTCCAGTACACTTCCATTAGGCCATACTGCTCCTTTCAGCAGCTAATGTGTAACAGGGGGGACATGGATAATAACATCCAAGAACACCTTCACTGGGTTGTGTGCGTGTAACAAATACTATAGTGAAATATTAATGTGAAATTAAAGTAGCATCAATATTGAAATAAAAAATAAAAATCCTTCAGATTGTATTTATCAGACCATATTTTTGATACAACTATAAAGAATGAACATTTTACAGCTGCCTCTCTACAGAATATAGCAGTTTTTAATTATTCTTTCCTGCACAGGATTCAAAGTCAATACATACACCCATAAGTAACCCAAAGAAAACAATACAACATTCTATCATGAAGTATGTTAAAACAGAATTTTCTTCATGTGCAGTAAAGTTTATTTGATGCACAAGCTAGCTGTTCATGTTTATTTGAATATCTCACACAGTGCATGGAAACACTGTGACCAAAATAATGTCTTATTCAGAATTAGGTAAAAAGTGGGATATTTGCTGTCCGTGTAAATGTATTCATTGTCAGGTAAAATGCCGACACTAGCCTATGTTGTTAGATTTAATTGCTGGATGCGAATTACTCTCGTTTGCATAGAGGTGGTTTGACTTTGAAAAGATGGATGTTGCTTCAAAGATGGTAATCTAAAAACAATGTTGGAAGTCTGCAGTCGTTAAAGGCAGCTCAACAAGACACTTGTTTCACCATCTGTGAACTAACCACCGCATAGAATATCAAGAAAAATACCAGCACAAACACACTGAGGAAATTTAAGTGGAATCATTCAGCCAAAAAAATTCCTCACAACAAAAAAAAAGAAAAAAGCGTGTTTTGCCCAAGGACAATACAGCAGATGCAGGATTTAAACCCAGAGACCCTCCAACTGAGACTGGAGTCAGAAACACAAACTCTACATCTCATAAATTTCAAGTGTGTTTGAGTGTTAGATAATGAGCGTGTGTGCGTGCAGACACCCATGCTTTCTATTTTTTCTACTTTCAAACATTTTAAAGTAACATGTACCGATGAGTAACCACACCTGTCCGAGCCCTCTGCAAAAGAGCAGTGGTTAATGACAAAACACACGTTAATAACCAATAACTCATCTCTGGAGGATTGTTAGTTTACATTAATTACACCATAGCCCCTGGCAAACGGCATATCAAGCAGGATTCTGCGAAAAAACAACTGGCATATCTAGTTACCATCAAGCGTTTGACCAACAGGAGTCATATCACAAAAGATTTAGGAGCAGGGAGGTTCACACAAGAACAGGAGCAGCAGTGGGATGCACTCAAATGCACAAACACACAACAACAAGCAGCATCTATGTACCATTTTAAAATGATCTGTCCTACAACTGAGCATTTTTGTTGTTAAATCCCTCCTTAGCAGCTGTTCGATCAGTAGGCTATATAAAAAAATGGCTGTATGTTTTCTAGGGAACCTGGCATACTACAGCTATTGTGTGTAGGTAAAGTTGAACCTGTTTGTGCTATGTGTGGCTTCAGTATAACAGTACAAACTGACTTAGACCACTTGTGTTCGTGGTGCGAGTGTGTGTGTGTGGGTGTGTGTGTGTGTGCATGAGTGAAGTTGAAGGGAACGGCAGAGCAGCCTTGTCTGTGAGGCTTGACACTCATCAACGTCTGCCTGTTACATTTCTATGACACGCTCTGTCTCAGGAAGAGCAGCAGCAGAGAAGCAGTGGGGGGGAAAAGAAGAGTGGAGGCAGGAGGAGGTGGGGTGGAAAGGGCTGGTGGGGCAGAGGGGAAGTCAGCAGGAGGGCTGAGGCACGACTGAAAGGTACAAGAAAAGGGTTTCATTTCTCACGAGTGATACGTAGCAACTTTCAGAGTGTGTGTGTGTGTGTGTGTGTGTGTGTGTGTGTGTGTGTGTGTGTGTGTGTGTGTGCGTGTGAGACAAAAGCTTTCAGAACATATTTATGGAAAATGAAACATGCAAGGCTGCATTTGCTCATTCTGTGTATCATGGCTTCTGTAAAATCATAAAATGTTTTTTTTCTGTTAACGTTAGATGATGCTGTTTATTTCTGTTATCATTTTTTAATTACTATTACAAATTTAAACATTTATTAATTTTATTTCATTTTCTTATTTGATTTATTGTTGAAGTTTGTTTAAATGGTTTGTTCAGATGGATGATAAACCTTTCCTTTCCAGATGGTTTGGAGCAAAAGCATATTGGGGGTTTCAGGGCGCGCATAAAAGAATATGAATGATACGTGAGGGAGAAACTTGATAGAAATCCAGACCACGGACAAAAAACTGAAAAAGAACCAAATTAAATTTTTTTAAACACGATGCTAAACAAACTTCTAACCTCTTGTGAACACAACCTCTGGCAATATGTGAAAAAAATGTTTTCCTCTCCCTCTGTCTTCCCTCTTATTATTCAATGAAAAGGGAGGAGGAAAAAACGCCCTCCAGCCTCACGCTTGGCTAATTTGCAGGATAAACGAAACAAGTTGTTTCTCAGGAAAGCCACCAGAATAATGTTTCGCAGTGTGCGGCGGTAGTTGTATTTGCATGTTTAAATCAAGCCCACATGTTTTATCTGAAACAAGCGAGCTGGGTTCCTCAAGCTCTTTGTCTTGCATCAGAGGGAGTGCTGTGGGTGAGTTAATCTTCAGTGATATTTCTCCCTGGTGCAGGCTTGATCTGACCATGTTAAGCCATGCTGCCTCTACAGGGAGCCACTTGCTTCCTTCTGTCATTGTAATAATGACTAATAGGATCTAATACACACACGGTAAACAATAAACACATAAATGTAAAAGCAGGTGAATACCACCTGAATAAGCTTGGATTAGAAACATTTTCCAATTTGTCAAAATATGAAATGTTTTGACAAATTAGTTTTTCTTACCACCAGCGATTTGTGCATGTAAAAGTTCTGCAAAGTTAAAAAGCCTAAAGTTTGCAGTGAAGGCAGCTCCTCTCCTGCACAGAACACACTGCTCCTAAAGCTGCTGAAAGTCTGGCACGCTCCCTCACAAAGCCAGGCATAGCAAGAGCAGAGGTCGGCTTTTCCTGTACGCACTGGAAGCGGCTGACCAATCTCAACAGAGTGCGGTAGCTGACCAATCAGAGCAGACTGGGCTTTATCAGGAGAGGTGCCTTAAAGCAAAAACATTTCAGACAAAGGCTGAATAGAGGATCTGCAGCAGTGAGAGGAAATCGATGAGCTTTCTGATCAGAGCATGAAATCCTTTTCATGTAATAACCTAAATTGAAATCGAGCATGAATATGTATGGTATAATATGTCACCTTTATTGAATCTAAAGTATCATAACTATTATATTTGCTGTTGACAACAACGTTTCAGAAAATGCAGCGCTTGGCCCCACAAACACTGTCTTTCTAAGCTATTGCTTCAAAAGTATGAGGCAGAGTGGGTCTGATCAATGCTGGCTATATCCCCAAGAGAACAGACACACAGAAAAGTTGAAACCAGGCCTTCAAAAGGCTAAGCTATTGATTGAATTGCTTTCCAAAGTGTTTTTCATCACTGGGACTATACAAGGGAGAATGCCGGCTGGTGTGCAGCCGGGTGCAGATGGCACTGCCGACCACCATAGAGAGAAAGGAGGGAGAGAGGGTGAGAAGAGGAAAGGAGAGATACAAGCAGAGAAAGAGAGTGAGAGAGACTGTCACTTACCCCTGGCAGTGTTTTCTGTTCATGGAGGGCATTCTGGGCTTTGATGGCCGACTCTCGGGCGCAGTAGGTGAGGAAAGCACAACCTGCAACAGAGGTACGCAACATAACAATCTGAGTAAAGAACTAATAACATACACACACACTCACACACACAGTTGTCTCTCTATAGTTGTGAGGACACTCATTGGCATAATGCATTTCCTAGCCCCTAACCTTAACCATCACAACTAAATGCCTGACCCTAATTCTAACCCCAAAACCAAGTCTCACCCTCAAACAGCCCTTTCACTTCTCAGTAATGTCAGAAAGTCCTCACATGGATGGAATTCAACCAAATGTGGCTCCTTATATCGATCAAAAGGCACCACACACATACAAAATTATACTGAATATAAAGTAACAGATACAAATAGTAACATTCAAAACAAATAAAATAGAGCTGGGGCAACATGTTGACTTAACCGGCGCCATCAATTACAATAATACGTCTATTTGTGTAACGTGCATTGACGTGTCGTAGGAACGTGGCTGCGCACAGTCACAGTTAGATCGCACACAATCATCTGCAGCATAGGTTACCAATAGGCGGACTGCGGTCCGGACCAGACCAATAAATCGTTCTATACGGACCCAGACCTGGGCCAGAGTGTTTCTATTTTTAACCTGCGGAATGTTTCTCACAGTTAAGATAGGTTTTTTTTTTTTTTCACCAAGCGCAGCTTTTTGCTAAACTTAAAATTTAAGCAGTTTTTTTATATTCCTCCAGAGAGTTACTTGAATTTTACTTTTCATTTATTTTGTTGTTGGACAGCCTAATTAATATACTTGAATGGAACAAGTCATTTTAATAATTAATTTTATTTTGGACAGATTTTGTATGGGACTATAAAAGGCAGATTAGCAGTTCAGACTTTCTTGTTATGGAATAATGCCTTGCAGCGCATACTGTGGTTTTTGCCATATTTGTTTGTATTAAAGAGAAGATGATTAAATAAATATAAATGTCACAAATATTTTCATTCTATTTTTGAAAAATGTATTATTATATTAATCAAATAATAAAAAATAATTGTTAGATTAATCAATTAACTGGAAAAAAAAATAGAAATTTAAGACAGTAAAAAACCTGGACAGTAATAAAAATATAATTTGACAATTGCTTTGCTATTAAAACAATCAAGGGACCAGATCAGTATAGAGAGTTTCATGAGTCAATGAAAACACAAGACTCCTTACAAACAAGGTAATAAAAGCAGGCAGCTGTGCAATACACCATGACACAAGTGGACAGTTTTCTGTGGTGGCACAGGGAGAGGAAAACAAAAAAGAGGCGGGAGCAGAGAATTCTTTGGATGAATTGCCCGGCCTGTCCAGCCTCACCATCCCGACTAACATGTCCTGTCCAAAGCTCCTGGCAGCCTGGCCAGCATCCCCACCCTGACTGGTTGTGACAAGAGCGGAAGAAAAGGGAAAGAAGGAGGGATGAGCTAGATCAGTGTGGAGATAGAAAAAGCAGGGAGATTCAGCAAACTCTCTAGGGTGAATGCCTAACAAGTATGCTTCCACACATGTACACAAACATCCACCTAGAATCAATGTGGAGAAGAGAAGGCGGGAGGAGGACGAGAGATGGAGACAAACCAGATGGAGTACCGAGGCAATCATTTTCCCCCTGACTGTCTGAATAAATAGATTTGCTTGTGTTCTATTAATGAGGTTCATATGGGTTACCATGCATCATATTTCTGCCACTCTGAAGATGGTTTATTAGCAGCCACTGCATTTTGGATCTCATTTCAACCGCCAAATGTATTCAGTGGGTGGTGATGTAGTAAGTGTCTTTACACAGACAGTGTTCCAATTCCTTTTCCTTGTTGCATGTGAGATCACTTTCATCCACTGAAACGTTCCCTATTCATTTGTCGGGTGTATGTTTTTTTCTTTTTTTGCATTTTCAGTAACCATTGCACTTTGTCTCCAATGTTACTTCTGCAGGACTGCATCAAAAAGCAGGGCTGAAATGCCAAGTTACCTATTGATTTATTTACTGACCCATAACCTTGCTGCCTTCCCTGCTGCTATAACTCTTAAGTATCTGCACGTGTTTGTGCTTGCATGTTGTCACATTTACATACAACAATGACTGAATCGCCTTTTGTCAAAATCCCCTCGATTTCGTCTATGATTCATGAAGCTGTTGCTTTTCTTTGGGACAGTCAGTGGTCAATCCTGCCGTGCTCTTCAGTATGACAAAGACAGACAGTGATGGAGACTCTCCAGGGTTGTGACCTTCAAGGTGGCTGACTGTAGCACTCCCCATAGCCTCCCTTGTCCCAGCACCCCTAACCTAATGATTTCCAATGGCCACCAAGCAAATCACTCAATCACTCCATCTTATTCTCTTTCTCTCTTCTGCGTCAGCTGGTAGAGAAATACTGGGAGTGTGGAAATTTCGTTGTCGTTTTGGGTTTGTTTGTTTGTTTCTCAGATGGGTAAGTGTAATAGGAGGGAATGGCTCCATTTAAGTGGTTGTTTTTCTCCACTTTTTTTCTCTCTCTGGGCTTGTTGCTGTTGGTTTACTTGACAAATGCTGGCCCAATCTCTGAATAAGAAACAAGTATTTTGCATTACAATCACAAACACGATTTATTTGTTAATGTGTAATGCATAGGGCATTGAGAATAAATTAATAACAACCACAACACTGGCAAACAAAAGAGAAACATGAACTCCATTTAAATGTGATTCTGTGCTCTTTAATGTATGGCTTAATAAGAATTTGCAAGCCATGGGCGAAAAAGCTTTAACAACTCCATAATTGGAATCCAAACACGTACAAATTGCCACTGCTGCATTGCATACCAAGTGCAAAATTGTGGCGGAGGGGGTGGGGGGTGGGGGGGCTGTTGGGGGTGAGGGGGCATGATGAAATTGTTTGAAACACAACAAAAAGCCACTGTAATCGGAGCCTGCTGACACAGCAGTCAGGGAAGCCTTCCCATTGTGAGGAGATGATCCTCTGCATCATCTGATAGAAACCGAAAACACTCTTATCTCTCACATTGATTTCAGCTCCAAAGAAGAAATTCCTGCTTTCCTCTTTGCTCCTTCGCTTTCTTCTACCTCTCCGTCGACTTGTTTCATCACCAGTGCCAGCTCTGCTCATCTCCCGTTTCTTAATAATATAATTTTAAGTGTGCACAGTGTGTGTGTGTGTGTGTGCGTGCGTGTGTGTGAGAGAGGAAATTGGTCCGAGTCTCTCCATCTCCTCTATGTTGAATTGGCATGTAATTAAAGAGTCTTACGTGGCAGGAGAGAGGAAGGAAGAGAGGGAGAACAGGAGATAGTGTAAGCAGTGAAAGAAAGTGTATAACTGTGGTGACAGCAGCCACTTACATGCACCCGGATTTACTTTACCAAAACTGTGGGTCTGTCTCTAAGCAGGTGTCTAGTATGTGTCAAGTTTACAGGTCTCATTAAGACAATTCACATATTATAAAATTATAGACTGAATTTAAAATGGAACAAATGACAGCTCCTCACAAGTCAACCCAAAGTGTTTCGAATGCCACCTGGTGGCTGCCTGCAGTATAGATCATAAATCCAGCCTCCTCCATGTTAATGGATAGGAAATGGAAAAGTCAAAATACACATCAAATATTTTTTTCTCAAAGATGGTTTCTGTTGCTTCTCAGGCAAGTTTGGTTTTAATAAGAAATTTGATGCTAAAACTGAGAGAAACATCATGATTGACAGGTGCAACTGACTCGCGATTTGTCAAGCCTGTGTATTGGCAGGACTTAGATACCGTAGTTCTATTCCCTGATCGCTACAGTGCAGACTCTGGCTCCAAATGCGAAAGATGGCAGTGCTCATTTTTTAGTTCGTTCCTTGATAGTGGGAGGAAGTGGAGATGTGTTGTCTATCTTTATGAAGAGCCAATGATTAAAACACACACATCTGATCCTGAACTATTCCTTTAACACGTCTCAGCACCTACCACTTTTCCCAAATACATATTACACACTAAAAGTTTAAAGTGTGCCGTATGCTATTACTATAACTCACTGTAAATGATCAAAGTATACATTTATGTAACCAACACATTAAACATGAATGCATTTCTCTTCACAGGAAATGATACAAGATTTGTGTTGACAGACATCACCTCTCCTCTCCCAATTTATATTTCATAAAGTAGTTTTTTCCAAAGATTGAATACTTAATTTAGCTTTCTGAGGTGCTCCCTACCATGCGTAATTTGTTTTTCTGCAGCTGCAAGCAGCTTCTTAATTTCCTTTGTGTGATGCTCTAAAGGACAATACTGTCCATCAGCATTAGAAAATCAAGCTAATTATGAATTCAAACTGACATCTTTTGATTGTATTTTATTTTGGTCATGGACTCACTGAGTCCACACTGGAAAACCTGATCAAAAGTTAGTATGTACCATCAAATAACCATGCACATTAACACAGGGCATTTAAACAAATATGATAGATACAGTCACAGATGTGAACACACTCAAACTAAGTATTTAACAACTGTCATCATCTTTTTTGCCAAACTCAATGTCAACAGTGAACAATTTTGCAAAACTATTGTTCAGACAACTGTGAAACTCAACTTTCATCACAATTGCAGTAAAATACAGTCAAACATTCTCCATACTCTAAGAGTTACAGGTGTTTTCCTGGTGGTAACAATAGGGTATAGTACCACATGGTGACACATCACCACATTGCATTCACCACATTACATTCCTGTTTTGGAAAAACTACCCTTGGCTACACTGCAGGTGCCATGATCCCACATTTGGCCCAAAAGCAATGAACTTTATGAAAAACAACGTGGAATCTACTGATAAGTTCCTCCACATAAATCATCCTGTGGATATGAATATGAAATTTATAAAAGGTGCTGGAAGGCTACTACTTACAAAGAGCTACCACTGAGGTGCATTGTCCTCTCACTGTGGTAAGAAAAATCACCTTCTGCTCAACACATCAATCAAACCTGTCTTTCATGAATGAAAACCAGAATGATCAATTACCTGACAGGACTTAAACTTAAACTCACAGTA